AACAGTTGTAATAAGGACTCTAGTTGTCAGATTTCTCTTCCATAGAAGGCTGTCTACCCATTAGATCAAGAGAGGGCAAACTATGTCCTCCATGCTGGCTCAGGAATTCTGGCAATTGAAGTCCACAGATCATAAAGGTGGGCCACAGTTGCCCATCCCTGCATTAGATTCTTTTTCTTCATCTGAGAAATCCATAATGGAAGAGAAATCAAGGCCAGATAGCCTTCACATCATGTTTCCAGAGTCTTCAACACTGCACAGAACACAAAAATATTAGTGTTTTGAATCAGTGATATATAGACATCGATGTGATAAATAAATAGGATAGTCATAAAATATATATCATCCCCACTGAAAGAAAATTCCATGTTTGAAGGGAAAAAGTTTCCCAGAATATTTCATGGCCCTTACGTAGGTAATGCTTTCCATCTATGGCATCATTATAGATTCTTTTTCAGAATGATAAAACTAAATAAGTGTTTGGATGTTCCTCCATTTTTGAAAATGCAGAGATTTTAATGCCTTGTTAGTGAATTTCTGGTAAATTTATGAGCGCAATTCCGACAGACCAACCAGCATAGTTAGTAACACAAGTTCTTCATACCAGAAAATCTCTTCTGGAGGATTGTGGGCTCCCCTAGAAGCAGCTGCTGAGACTGTGGAGAGCCGATAAGATAATCATATTTATATAATCCACCATTTTCTCCATTTTTTAATTCCACTCAATGCTTAATATTTGCATATCAAATTGATTTATTGCAACAAGTATCTATAAAAACTAATGGTTTTTTCTAGTTTTTCTAAAAACTAGTGGTTTTTTTTTTCATTTTAAAGGATTTAACAAGTTGTTCTAACATCTCAGGTGTTACAGAAGTTGAAAATTTCTGATGGTCCAATGTTGTTAACAAATGTTGTAATTGTAAATACTTCATCGGGTTATACCGGATAAATGCTATTTACCTTTTAACACAGAGCATCTTAAAAATTAATTTTCATCCTTGGTCAGTTTGCCCAAAATCTATACCTCACTATTCATCCCGTTTTTCCATATTGTCATTCCCCTACCCCCTACCCCCACTTGCAAAGTTGGGTTTCCCCATCGTCAATTTGGCATGGGGAAAAGGGCTGTTTGTTTTTTTTAATTAGACATTGCATTCAATAACTTTCTAACTGACAGAATTATTCCCAAAGATATCAGAGCTTTAAAATATTTAGATCCTAATACTGCTCATCCAAAGTACTCGATTTAACAGCTGTAATGCAGGCTGCCCATTGTGGTTTTAAAACTTTTACTTTCTTTTTTTGTTTTGTTTTTTTGCGGTGGCTAATCAAATACTGCAGTTGTTTAGCAAAAGCCATAGTCCTAAAGTAAACCTATGATTGACTATGGGTGCGGTTTTACCCTAAACCAAAAAATGGGCAGTTTTCAGCAAAACTGCCGTGAAACTATAGTCACGTGACTGCAGCATTGTTGCTGAGCCCCTGAGATTCAGTCATGTGACTGGGGGGGGGGGCGACCACAGAACTTTGAATTCAGGTTGTAAGTAGCCCCAAGGTAGGTCAGTTGTAATTTTGAAAATCACTGAGGACTACCTGTTTATGCATAAGCCGAAGTTACCCAAATCAGAAAACAAACACCAATTGTTGGCTTTCTGTATTTCATATTTGACAGTAGATAAGTATGATGATATAACACCAGATTCAGAAAATCAGATCCTCTCTCATTAATTGGTTTAATTAATTGGCATTTTCCGTAAAGATACGAAAGTACATGTTAACGTGGCAGAAAACAGTCTCAAATAGCAATAATAGCAATAGACCAGTGGTGGGATTCAAAAAAAATTACTACCGGTTCTGTGGGCGTGGCGTGGCTTGGTGGGTGTGGCAGGGGAAGGAAACTGCAAAATCCCCATTTCCTCCTGATCAGCTGGGGCTCAGGAGGCAAAGAATAGATTAGGGCGGGGCCAGTCAGAGGTGGTATTTACCGGTTTTCTGAACTACTCAAAATTTCCACTGCCGGTTCTTCAGAATTGGTCAGAACCTGCTGAATACCACCTCTGCCTTAGACTTATATACCACTTTAAAGTGCTTTACAGCCTCGCTAAGCGGTTTACAGAGTCAGCCTCTTGGCCCCAACAATCTGGGTCCTCATTTTACCCCACCTCGGAAGGATGGAAGGATGTGTCAACCTTGAGCCTGGTGAGATTTGAGCTGCCAAACTGCCGTCAGTCAGCAGAAGTAGCCTGCAGTACTGCATTCTAACTCCTTCTGATAGGATAGTGTTAGAGCTGAAGAAGCTTCTTGGATGAGAAGCGAAACGACTTCAAAAAAATAAACAAGAAAGTCCAGTTGCCTCCTGAAAAAAGCACCTTTGGGACAACCATGACCTGGATGATGGAGACTCTCCACATGACAGAAAGCAGTTCAGCATTACTCGCTCTCTATATGCTATTTCTACAGTGCACATTATACACTCCTTGAGTATAGTAGTTGTATAGAAAGGTGCAACTTTACAATCCATTTTTAATGTCCTGTGTTGCTAATTAACTGGGGTTTTTTTGATGTTTTTGTTTTGTTTTGTTTTATTGGAAGGTTGAAGTTTCAACTGTGAGAATTTCTGAAGTGGCAAAAATAAAAGGAGGATATTAGGAAGGGACAATGGGGATGTCTCCACTTTATGTATTGTCAAAGGCATATGGTGATGTTGTGTGTATATTGTGCTTGTATACCATGAGGGATGATGAGAGAAAGCAATTATTTTGCCTAAAGCTATTTATTTCATTAAATGGGGATTATGCAGGAAAAATATCAATACCCTGCATACATTGAATATACTTCTTTCGTCCATTGATTAGTTTTTTGATCAATTCCCATCAACCCTAATTGCTTGTTACAGTGGCTGTAGCTGAGATGAGCTGCTTATAGTTCTCTAATTTGTGGGTCATGAGACCTGTTTTCATAACCAGAAGTTGCTTCTTTAGATATTTTTCTTGTTCGTTGTTCTTGTTGTTACCTTTCACTTTTGCCCTTTTATAATATCCTTTTCTCTTTATTCTTCTACATTTCCCTAGTTTTTAAAATCTTTTTTTAATTTTGAAACAAGAGAAACCTGCTTTCTCAACCTGTACAGAATGGAGTAGTCATCCTTGGTTGGTTGGATTGGCTCCTTCTAATCATAGGTCACAGTTAGATTTTGGAGTGCTGGTATTTCTAGAGGGTGGGGGACTCATATGCATTTGCATCTGAGGCAAAACTTTTGTGTACAGCAGGGGTGTCAAACTCAAGACTTATGGGCCGAATCTGCCCCGCGGGGTACTTAAATCTGGCCCGTGGGGCCGAACTGGAAATACCAAAGAACCGGCCTGTGGTGCCTCTGTTGGCCAAAACAGGGTAACACCATGTGGCCCGTTTTCAGCCTCCCAACAGCACTCTGCCAGCCAAAAATGGGCTGCGCAGGGGCCTTGTGGGGCCTCCGTGTGGCCTGCTTTTGGCCAGCACAGTGTTGCTGGAGGCCGGGGAGGCCAAAAATGGGCCACACAAGGGCCTCGCGGGGTGTCTCTGTGACCCGTTTTTGGCTCGCAGAGTGCTTCTGGAGGCTGGGGAGTAGTGTGGAAAGAAAGAAGAGAAGGAAAAAAAGCACATCTTGAGCCTGTGTCAAACACCCACCATGACCATGCCTATCCCAGCCATTCCCACCATGACCACGCCCACCACCCCACTCCACCTTGGCCCTCCAAGGTCAAACATAACCCTGATGCTGCCCTCAATCAAAATCGAGTTTGACATCCCTGGTGTACAGAGCTTTCACGTTTATTTTCTTGTTCTGGAAACCACATCACAATGTTTTGATTGCCGGTAACTGTGTGGCCTTCTTGATTTGACAATATGGGAATTCCTATGCCCTGAAGGACATCCCAAGGAAGCAGCTTCCATTCAAGAGAATATCTCGAGATATTTAAACATAGCACTCTAAGCATCTCTAAGAAAGTTGCTAAATTTGTTGCTCCTGCCATCGTTGTTGGGTGTTTCACTATCCAACAAAAGCACTTTCCCATGTATGGCTTTATCTGTAACTCGACAGCGGGTATTTTTCTCTGCAATATGAGTGTGAAGCCTTGAGCAGGGACACATTGTCCTGGATCACAGCAACAAATATTTGGACATGTAAGGTCATCTTCCTTGATTTGTGTTGTCATCACACGGTCATTCACCCAACGTGGCTGCTGTCAGCCAAATTCCTACCGTACTGACAATACAAGATCAGATTGTCACTCTAAAGTGCGTAAAGTAGAGTTGATTTGAGCCACAGTTGCCACTTTGGGTTGCATCTAAGCAAATTCCCAGCTACAGTTGCTGGAAACATTGCCATGATTAGCCATGATGAATGTGTTAATCCTCTTTGTCCATCCTGACATTGCCCATGAAGGGGAAACCCTGCATTTTATTTCCATTATGTGTGAAAAGCATTGATACTTGCTTTCTTACTGTCCTTGCTGTCACACCCAGGAGTCATTTCAACGCAAGTAACTGAAGGGTTTGCATGTAACCAGACTAAGAGGCTGAACTTGTTGATCAGAAAGGTCGACAGTTCGGTGGCTCAAATCCCTAACGGAGTAAGATCCCGTAACTTGTCCCAGCTTCTGCCAACCTAGCAATTTGAAAGCACGCAAAAAATGCAAATAGAAAAATAGGGGCCACCTTTGGTGGGAAGGTAACAGCATTCTGTGCCCCTTCGGCGTTGAGTCATGCCGATCATATGACCACGGAGACGTCTTTGGACAGCGCTGGCTCTTCGGCTTTGAAACAGAGATGAGTACCGCCCCCTAGAGTCAGGAACGACCAACATATATGTATGAGGGGAACCTTTACCTGTAGACTAAGATAACTCTGTAAAAAGGGGACCGCCTGAAGCACCTTCCAAATACGTTATTTCTTTATTATCTAGCACTTTATAATTAACTGCTGCTTTTTAATTATTATTGTTATTGTTATTATTTCAGGAAGCTGCCTCTTTTGCTCGAGAGCAAGGCCTTGAGGTGAGTAATCTTACATTACATGCTAAACAGATTCTAAGGGTTTTTTTTTCCCATTGCTGATAATGAAGTTCTTTTGGACAGTGATTGATGTGCTATTATCCTCTCCAAGCTTCACTGCGGTTGCCATAGAGACTTGGCAGTCGTCATGGTTTCTTTGTTCTGCCAGCTCAGTGTTATGACGCACTCTGCGAGGTCTGCACCCAACATCGCCTACAGATGTTATTTATTGAATTTTGAAAAGCCTCTCGGGAAGCTGAGAGGCTGGGCGCAGCTTCAAGTTGCCTCTGCAGATACGCAACCTGCCAGCCGGTTCCGCTAAAAAGCCACCTCATTAGCTGAATTACACTAAAGATCCTCCTCAAAAAAGCCAGGGCCCAGCAAGGCAGAATTCGGGAACTAGAATGCCATTTTGAATAACCTGGACCTGTACTGAACACCGATTATCCCGATGCAAATGACTTTTGTGTGCGGAACTGTTAACAGCTGATTAGCGGGAGTCCCGCAGCCTCTCTGGGGAGTAGGCTGTTCTTTTGTTAACCTGTCCAGGGGCTGTTCTCCCCCCCCCACTCCATCTGGGTCCGCCTCTTCACACACACACACACACACACACACAAACACACACAAAAGTTCCCGTCTTTTGTTCAGCCTGTCAACTGCCTCCTTGTGAAAGGGTCTCCATTTCCAGAGATGTGAGTGGGTGCTACATCCAAACAATTTGATCTGAGGAATCAATAATTATAGGATGAGGGGGCTGCCCCCAAACAACAATCACGTAACAACCAATTTCTTTTAGATCTTTACAGTCTGGTGTAAGTGCAACGACACCCTGTTTAGATTCGTTTACTTTACTCCCTTCTCAAAAGGGTTGTTCTTAAGCTCCCTTCTGCATCAATCAGGCCTCAACAGCTGGGAGACCCGTAGGCCCGGTCTGCACCTTTCCTCTCTGTGTGTTCAAGTACAAAGGAGAAGTTAGAGAGGAACATATGGCCAGTGTGTGTGTGTGTGTCCAATTTAGATCGCCTCAAGATAACACCAAAACATACCCCTTTGTACCATACGTGTTGAGTTTGTCATTTCGTGGTCTGTTCTGAATTGGGATGGACACTTCTATGAAACCAGGGTTACGGGGAAAACTTTATTTTCTGCAATTAGATTTTGTATAACCTAGCTTAGCATTAACATAATTTAATCAAAGAAAAGCACAGGTGGTATATATTTTCACTTTTCCCTTGAGTAAAGGAATGTGGAACAAGTCTCATTTAAATTCGCACAGAATGACAAAATCATGCTTACACCTTTCCTTTATGTGCAAATATGTGCAAGGGGAACCTTTACCTTTACCTTATTCTTTATAAGATGAGAACTGTTTTTCTTAACTGAAAGGCTAAATGTTTTATATTTAAGTAGAAGTCTTCAAATTGTATGGGGAATCCATCCTAGAAGTATTTTTTGGAGCAAAACAACTTCAGCATGAATCAGGAAGTTATCTTTCCTAATGTTCTTGAAGATTTTATAAAAGGTCCTGTGGCTACCTATTTTTTCACAATGTGGGAATTTTCAAAGCAAGAACTTTCTTTTAATGTGCAAAACAAAACAAAAAACCTTCTTTGTTACTTTGAAAAATGTAATCTGCTGCAACATGTCATTTGGAAAGAGATGTTGAGCAAAAAAGATACAGATTTTTAGATTAAAAAGAATAACAAAATCATAGAATAATAAGAAGCTGGGAGAGTATCATTGGGATTAAAAGGGACTTTTGAAAGTAAGATATCCAGAGAGAAACGTATGAGGATATTTTTGTTTTCCAATGCAGATCAGTGTGGCTGTAAATAGCCTTTATATACATAATTGAACCTGAAGATTTTAATAGCGTTTTGTTTAGCATAACATTTTTAAAAAGGAGAGATAACTTGTTGTATTGTATGGAGCACCCTAGTAATTCAGCATTTCTGTATAATTTGGGTAATGCAGTCATAGGGAAAGAAGGGGGGGGAATCAACCTGTAAATTGAATTTGGGAATTTGCTATGAGAAAAGACCACTTCCAAATTCTTCAAGTAAGATAAGGAGGGCAGATAGCTTTGTCCTTAATGATGTTTGTCTGAGGACTCCCAAGAAGTGGTGTTGACTGGTATTTACAGATAGAGGATGACCCTTCAGCAATGCTGGGTTCCTGGATATAATCCATCTCCTTGGAGAATTATGTACAAGAAGGTTGAGTTAGCTCTCTCTATAAGAACTACTCTGATAGTATCAGTCTATGGCCACAGAAGATCTTTAAGAAGAATTACATTCACTACATGGAACATTAGCCACTTAAGGTTGGTTTAGTGGTCTATAAACCAGAAAAAGAAGGATAAAGAGAGGGATATGGGCCCTGTCCCTACAGAGACCCCATGCCTCTGGCTCTTGAAGAGGGTTTTTTTTGGGGGGGGGCTTTTTTGAAGCCTCTTTGTCTTCTGAGATGTAGAGAAATTGTTGAAGCCATGGAATTATCCTCTTCTGGGTCATGCTGTTAGATAATGGAAAGGTTGGGACGGATAGTAAGAGTCGGTCCAGAAATGGTGAGGTGGCTGATTCATCATATTTGGAAGTCTCTTCAAATTTTTCCAATAGGAGGAAGGGAAATATGAGGAGGAAAGAGCCTAAAAAGAACTTTCCTTTGACTTGGTTTGGGGCAGATTTTGATCTTGTTGGTATAGGTTGGATCAAGGTGGTTCTGTTCTCATTGTTTCCTGTTTTCCAAGATTAAGTTAATCTTTTGTGAGAACTCTCCCCTTAATGGCTGGCTCATACCCAAGACCAGGTCTGAATTCCTTCACATCTTAGGAAACTGCTAAAGAGGGCCAAGGGGACAGAGGCGGCTTTTAATTTCCCCTCTGCCCCAGCAATCATATCAAGCTATCTGTTTCCCACTGCTACTAGCCAGGCGAATTACTGTATTTTTCGGAGTATAAGATGCACTTTACCCCCCTAAAAGAGGGTGAAAATTTGGGTGTGTCTTATACACCAAACGTAGTCCCGCTCACCCGCCAGCCCCCACCCTTTGACCTGTGTCTCCCAGCAATTTGCCTCCTTGCAGCAAACAGCCGCCCAGAACGGGTGAAAAATGGGGCACATAGAGGCCGAAAACGGGGCGTGCGGAGGGGGGGGGGCAGAGGCA